TTTCAGCACATACATAATTTGTATGTCAGAGTAAAATTATCAGGAATGTTTATATTTAAAGACATAGACTTTGATGTTTAATTTACTTTTTCCCAAGAGGTATGATAGGAGATGATGGAAAATACCCACTTGCCGAAGTATAAACCTTCCATAAACAATAATGAAAATACCATTTTCTGTTCTAATATGCTTTCCTTTTAAGTTTTGGAACTTAAGAAATATAGCATGCTTAAAATTTTTCTGTTTACAATGGTTAAATTATAAGCGTAAAAACATTTGGGTGATCTCTGGTGACATATTTTAAAAGTTTAATAAAGAACAATGATGGCATTAACTATTTCAAACTTCTTATTCAGGTTGTATATGCATGTTCTGCACACATATACTATGAATAATTGAATTATTTGCCTAAGGTACTATCAGAAGAGGACCATTGTGATAATTAATTATCTCCAGTGGAAATAGTTTCAAAAAACATTTACAAAAGTCATCTATAATAACTAAAGCATATTATGCTAATTAGACCAGACAGCCAAACGACCTTCCAGACGACCTTCCAGACAAAGCCGGGGTGGGGCTGCAAGGGCCAAGCCCCTTGTACGAATTTCGTGCATCAGGCCTCTAGTAGAAGATAATACTGTAGTAAGTTCATTCTAGGTGCACACTTTATATCTTAAGATCTTTGATATCAGAATGATCTTACAGTTGCTCTTGATCTGAGTTGAATTTGTTTTAGAAAAAAATTTGTTCTTGTGCCAGACACATGAGACCCTACTAACCTGATACCTCTTTAAATTAAAGTCTTGTCTGAGATTTTTGGTCCACCCTGTTGGTGAATTCAGAAAGTAAACCTTCATGAGTACCACCTTGTGGTTAAGGAGTATTTCTTCTCCTTTTCACTGCCCATAATTGTGGTTGAAACAACCAAATATCCTTGGTGTCTTCTTCTTCATGGGGATTTATTTCTTCTTTATGCTCATACTGAAACATATTGTGTCCTGGCTTGATACTGGGACCATCCATTAGATTGTCCATCTTGGGCAGTTTTTCTATTTTAGCAGTATACTAAAAAATGCTGTATCTTACATTCAGTGACATCTTAGACTTGATACAATTTGGTAATTTATTAAAGTTAGGGATTTTTTTTAGGACTGACATCATGCTCACCTATCATATCTTCCTGCTTCTCTTGGGGCTAAAAGCTCAGAATCATAGTTGGATGCTTCTACGTGTATAAAAGAAGCCGAAGCACAGACCAGATTAGCACTGCCACAAAATACTATATTCACAACTCTGTAGACTATGAAAATGACACGGCCAAAGATATTTTATGAAATTTTGATGCCAACCAAGACATAAATTGAGCTAGTTGTGGAGATAATTAAGAAGATTGAATTCTGTGGGTGTTTTACAATGGGGACACTAGAAGGGGATGTAGAACAGTCAAGGGAACTATTACAAAGTGAAATTCAATGATGGCGTTAAACTAGAAGTTAGGATATAAAATATTTCCAAGATTAAAAAATCTAAGATGATGTTAATTTAAAAACTGCTACTTATGGTGCAGCTTTTTCTTCTCTGGATTTGTAGACCACAGTTTGACTCATTCTTGTTTGGTAAGGAAAGGAACAGGGGAGGTAGTTTAAAGGTAAATTACCTCAGCCTCTCACGCTCTTGAATGCAAATTCAGACCGGCTTCAATTTTGCGCGCAACAGTTATTCAAGGGAAGGAAACATATTGCAGAAACCTGAGGTTTGTCTTTAGCATTCTGAATGAGGTATAAGCGGGAAGACAGGAGGATCTGCCAGCACAGATATATTTAGGGTTTTGTACTAAAATTTCCCTAGGTGAAGGGCCACTAGTGATGAAAGAGAGCCTTCTGGGTGGAGGGGAAGGGGAGCTGGATGATCTGTTTCACCTAGGCCAGATCACCATTAGTGCAGTCTTTCCTCAGAGGGGGCAGAGCGCTGAGTGAGTGCTAAAGGTTTCATCAAGAGGAAAATTTCTTCCACTTAATTCTGAATTATTTTATATAGTCTCTCTATTAAAACCTCAGGATGTGTAAAATATAGAGTGTTACGAACTCTGTTTACCATCACAGCTGGAACTGATTGTCCTGAAGTGTATAATTTGGCTTCAAGTTGCTTAGCAGCTTTCCGTGAAAATATACCTTTGTATGTTTCCATATGAGCACGACTATTTTATTCCATGCGGGATATGACATTAGCAAGACAACATACATGACTTAATAGGGTTGAGCTCTGGATTTTTGCCCATTTTACTTTCAAGTATTGATAACACCTATTTCAAGACAATTCACTGATCCCCAAGGTGCGACTCAGCCTGGCCAAATGGGTATACCTGACTAAGTTTCCGAACATTTAAAATTTACTATAATCTTTGGTATATATATGCTTTATCAATTATCAAACAAGCAGACAAGGAAATAAGAGGCCTTCAAAAAGGGGATGTTTTATTGCTGCAGAACTTCTTGGACTATTTACCATTTCCTCCCACATATCACAAGCATCTCCTTAGAGTTGTTCACCCCCCCCACCCCCACCCCGCCACACATACCCACACACACACACACACACACACACACACACACACACACCAGTGTAACACTAAAGCACAGCAATTCTCTTCCCTCTTTACGGTGTGCATTCCGATGGGAGAATCAGGAGAAAGCTTGATTCATATTCATTTTACTTTCTGTAGGTAAGCAATTCTATAGCAGCAATTTTTACAGGCTTCCACCAAACTAATTTCATCAGAGCACAATTTTAAAAGCTGAAGCACTCTCTAATGTCTAATCAATCAACAGTCAACAACATTAACTTATTCACAGCTTCCCTTTTTAAAAAGTACATATGTCTTTGGTCAGCTTTTTCTTGCATATATACACTCATAATTCCAGCAAATATATAATTAAAAAATACTAACTTGGGGCCCTAGCCAATTTTGTTCAGTGGAGAGAGCGTAGGCCTGTGGACTGAAGGGTCCTGTGTTTGATTCCACTCAAGGGCACATGCCCATGTTGCAGGCTTGATCCCCAGTAGCGGCTGTGCAGGAGGCAGCCAATTAATGATTCTCTCTCATCATTGATGTTTCTATCTCTCTCTCCTTCCTCTCCCTTCCTCTCTGAAATTAATAAAAATGTTTAAAGAAAAACCTAACTGGGTCTTTGAAGGGACTGGATTTCTAAACAAATGGATTAATCTCTAAAATGTTGTATTCAAACTGTATTGTATTAAAATTGTAAAATGATTTTTATATTATATTACAAATTGATTATCACTGAAATATAAATATATGTAGCAATGTTCAAAATATAGCATAATTTCCTACATATACAGAAGTTTAAAAATTATTTGTTAATTGATTGACATTTCTTAAGATATTTTATTTCTGTATATGATTATTTTAATAAAAACAATGTATGACAAATCACTTATACAAAAAACAATAGATATTATTTAGTTCAAATCTCTACTGGTAAACCAAAACAATAAGTATCTATGCTATACTTGAAATATTTAGATTATTCATTCAACAAATATTTATCTACATGATATTTATTATCATGATATTCATGATATTGCATCTGTTATAACCCCAGAGATATAAGAATGAGCAAAATAGCAAGGTACATACCAATATTGAGATTAAAGTCTGATAAAAAATGAGCTCTAGCTATATCATCTTATATCTTTTATTTCCACTTGTTATCATTAATTCTCTATAGATGAGCAAGCAGATTATTTAATACAATGAATTAATATTTCATAAGACTGCATAGCTTAAATAGTGCTTATCATAATTCAATATTTTTACATAAAATAGATGAATAGAAGGCTAGTGAATGTTTTGTTGTCTATTATGCCATTTGAAAGATTTCAGTGGGTAGATTAATAATGCACTATATTTACAATAACAAAAATCAATAACATTTACTCAATATAATGGCTTTTTTCCTTTATAATAAGAACAATAACACAGGAAAATCCTTGGTTAGAAAATTTTGCAAGAAAAATTGACCCCAAATATAGGCTAAGTTCATGGCTATCTGTCTCCTGGTATTGCTATCCTCCAAACAATCCTGTGAATGTTCATCAACCAGATACCAGTGCATATAGGACACACGACAGGGATCTGCTTTTCAGAAAAGTAGTTAGGTTAGGTTTTGGAATGCATGCTAGGGATGCTAGTGTGCTGCTTGTGCAGTGTGTTTTCTCTTGTTACATTAGTGAAACATGAATATTCTATTTGCAGAATTAGTAGGTCAAATCCAAATTAACAGATAAACATATTAGACCTCCCTAATGTAAAAGACACCAAAAAAGTTAATAGTATAATTATGTTCAATTACATGTAAAATGTTCTCATTTTAGCTATGAATTCTTCATAGCAGTGATGTCATTGACAAGTTTCCCCAGCAGAGGGAAGCACAGCTTCATTATTATTTTTGAAAAGGGTTGAAGTAGGAAAGTGAGATATTCTACAATTTTACTCCATTTTACGTGAAGACTGGTTGGTATTTCAGCATAAACTAAGCACCTAGACAGGAAGTAGGCCTTGAAATCTGTTAGGAGGCATAAAATGAACTTGGTCCCAAATCCCCAGTTCAGGAGAATATCCTATTAGTAAATCAGTGTGAAAATACCGGAATTATCTTCTACTGGACTAGGATATCCAATAACAATATATTGGGTGCCATCAGCATATTAATGAATACTTTGAGTGACATTTTAAGAATACACTTTCTTCTTTGATATATTTAAATGAATATTTTTGTTGCCTATTAGTCTCACATGGCAACTATATATGAAGTCATGTACTTAAACTGGCTTCTTTTGTTAATATGAGAATATTGAGCTTTAAGTCTCGTAAGGGTTTAAAATCATGATGAGTTTGCCTTGCATGTGTGTAGCTATGCTTTATTTCTTGTGATTTTATGCCAGTGTTACCAGGTTGAAAGATGAAAAATGTAACTTACCATGGTGTTGTAAGTCTGAACAGTGAGTTAGCGGGTCCCCATTTCGTATATCTTGTCGTCTTGTGCGTCTAAAACAATTCATTTAAAAGATATTATTGTATTTCTTTTCCCTCTTGGGAATGTGTCATAAGAATTAAGGTGAATTAAAAAGCAAAGACTTTAAGAGTTTACTGAAAGAGATGCAGCCATGACTAAAATATTTTAAAGTACTTGTAAAAGCAGTTTCCAAGCTGATCATAATGGGAAACAGTATACAAATCTATTAACAATGTGTTAAAAGACTTTCAGACATTGATAACAAATATTTTTTTTTCTACTGGATGTGATCCAATAAGGACCTAACATCTAGAAACTCCTAAATTCTTAACATCTTAAATTCTGATTCTGAGCAAAAAGCACGAAAAATGGAATAGCAATCCATTTCTTCAATAAACAGAATTAAACATTTTTTTCTGATCACTAATGAGGAAGTAAGCTTGAAAATTAAAATTCACATGAATGTTCTCTTTCTCTTAACACATATCTTTGTTATGTTAATAGAGTTCCGTTAAGTTTAAAAGTATAAAGACTATGGATTCTATTTTTAAGTTAGTTCTTAATTTTCTTGTATGGTTGCTATATCAACCTTTTTAAAAGAAAATATGTCTTTTATGACCATAGGGCTATGATTGCAAACTGATTTACCTGTGAAGTGAATAAAAGAAGAAAAGCAACAACAAATATTGATCAGCAAGGCCTTCTTTTGTCAGAATAAGGCGGAAGAGAAGACAATGAACTCACCTCTAAAAGAAAAGCCAAAGTTGCTATAAAAATCTAAATGAGTTTCTCCTACATTGTATTGCTTAGATCATGTTAGTTGCAGTACATTCTGGGTGTCCCAGCTGCACTTAGCCAATGGTTGGCCCGGAAGAAGGAGGTTGGCTTTAGCAATTGTGGTACAAACAAGACATATACTTCCAGAAAGAGGCTAAAAGTGGAGACTGGCTATGTGTAACAGACCGGAAAAGATTGGGGACACTTGCCCAACTGTTTTCTGCATCTATTTTAATGGGTATTGTCTTTCTGAAAAGTTAGTTACCATCCCTAAAAAGAGCTCTCACAAAGGCCATTGAGAATTTGTTACTGTATTCATAAATTTAGAAGTCCAAAGTATTTATAGATTCCTATTTGTAGAATTGGTGAGACTATCAACAGATGTTGCACATTTCAAAATTGAGCCAACAAGAGAACTTGTGAAACACGAACCACAAAGCACTTGGGAAGGCATTTTTTACTGTATTTTAAGCTTTTGAAAAATGCCATCACAAGGAATACATAAATGTGAGGTCTTTAAACATCCTTTACAAAGAAACATGCAGTTGGATTAAATAAAATCTGGTAGGCATAACAGAATGTGTTAATAATAACTTCTTCAATCATGAATTGTAGGAATGCAATAGACACATTTCAAATTTATAACACACAGCTTTTTAACATATCAGAGCTATAGTTATGATTTTTAATCCTTCTTATTAAAATTAGCTTAAAATTAGAATGGATTATTACTGCCCTAACCGGTTTGGCTCAGTGGATAGAGCGTCGGCCTGTGGACTGAAGGGTCTCAGGTTCGATTCCGGTCAAGGGCATGTACCTTGGTTGTAGGCATATCCCCAGTAGGGGGTGTGCAGGAGGCAGCTGATCGATGTTTCTCTCTCATTGATGTTTCTAACTCTCTATCCCTCTCCCTTCCTCTCTGTAAAAAACCAATAAAATATATTAAAAAAAGAGAATGGATTATTACTAAATTAGGCAATATTATACATTTTCACATGGAAAGGAAATAATACTCAATTTTAGTTCAAACATGAATTCACATTTTGGAGTAACATTAAAAGCCCCATAAAGCTAAATGATTTCAGGAACCATAACATTTTAATCAAATACTTAATTTGATTGCTGTAAAAACTGCACATTGTTATTTTTTAAATTATCCATAGTTTCTTTAATCAATAATACATTATCTCCACAGTAAGTTTTTGTTTTAAATGTTAACTTCCCACAAAATCAGTAGGAATATGAAAGTGATACAAACATATCATCTCAATGCTGAATGTTAATGGCTTAAGAAAACTGTATTTACGAAATGGAATAGGCTAATACTACAACGACACTTAATATTATGAACTATCTTTTATCCATATGGACAGATTATATGATAGATTTAAGTTGAAGATGATTTACCACTACATTTCCCCCTGTGTAAAATGAAGTTGCAAATCTTTATCATTTCCAAGTACAAACATTCAAAGATATGATTGTGATGTTTTAGATTTCCCTCAGTAATTAATTAAAACCATTTATCCCATTACATTTGTACCCAACTATCCTATTATACATTTTCTGATTGTTTTGACTAAGAAAAAGGGGAAAAACAACAACCTCCAAACCGCTTTCTACTAATGGAAAACAGTTGGTCTACTTATATGAAGGAAGCCGTTTCAAAAATGAACTCAGGTATAATAAGTAGCAAACATTTTGTTTACTTCTAGAATCTTTCCTACCTCTTTGCAGTAGGAAAATAGCGAGAGCAGGAGGAGCCATCCCAGGCACAGTAAGGGTCTCGGGCGAGGCAGCACTCCGCACAGGCTTTCCCATAGATGTCACACCGGTGCAGAGGCAGCTGGGCAACCCCCGCCATGGAGCCAATATAGAGCTGTTGCTGTAGAAATAATTTATGATTATGACAAAAATTGTTTTCAAAGTTTTCTTTAAAAAAGCTTATACATATCAAAGATAAATTTATATTTTCAGGTTTAAAAAAATCTCATTATTGGTAGTTTCTTCAAAGGCCTGGCAGATAATGTGACCATTTAAAAATAGAGCAACATTAAAATTTAAATATTTGACTGAAACAGGTGAATTTTATAAGTATAAACCCAAGGGAAAATAAAGGAAGACAGTGATAGTGATAGGTCAATTATACCTAAATAAAAAAAATCAAAGACAGTAAGACAATGTAATGATAAAATCTTTAGTTTTTTTGTTCTTAGATAGCTTGTTTTCACTTCTACTGTTCATCATTTTGATGGATCAGATGATCTACATTGCTGTGTATTCCTGAGGCAGCGATCATTTGCTTCTGACTTCTGGGTGCTCACATTGCCTGGGATGTAGTTTCAGGGCTTGCCTTTGTGAGGCATTTTGCTCAAAAACAAATGTGTTGTCCTTGCACTACCTCCAGGAAGATTACTTTAAACAAAACCATGAAATGAATTCTCATTTGAAATGTCATCAAAGAGGGAGATCAAGTGCATTCTGGCTGGTGCAGCAGACTTAAAGCTAAGGCTCAGGCACCGTGGGGCAGTGCTGTAATGGGCAGCGAGACACCTGGATTCTAGGTCTTCCCCTACACTAACGCTCTCTGTGGCCTTGGGCAACCACATAATTTTCTAAGACTTTTCCATGAAATGTGCATGTTTAACTAAATCTTCAAAGTATGCATCCAGATAACGTTTTACTATGCTGTTATCCTCAATAAGTTTGGAGTTACCCAATAAGGCAGAATATAGGAGAAAAAAAATTTCTAGTACCAACAGATTCAGGATTTCAGCACAGTGTGAAAAGTACCTTTTACAAAATTGAGCCAATGGAGCATATCAGCTGCAAATTTATCTAAACACAAAATGAAATTAAATAAAATTATTTTGTGTTTTCTTCACATTTTACTGTAGTTGGAGTCATAGCTTCCTTTTCTTGCACTAAAGGATTGAATCAACGCTATATACATACTGAAATATGTAACAGTTTTCATGGAAAAGATCTTAAAAGTGTTTTTTTTAAATTTCTTAACTATATATATAAAAAATAAGTTACAGAAAAGCTGGTCTCTGAAGCATGTGTGCTCTTTTAAATATTGCAAACTTCCTGACAGTCAGCAATGGGTATAAATAAAATTGCATTTCCAAAAGACTTTCAAAGATGGACTACATATGTGAATAAACAAATAAGCTGGATAAAAATGGAAGTATCTATTAGAATTAAATAAATTGTTAAGATTATAAGGAGTATTTTTATAGAAAATAATTCTGTGCTTCAAGTTAACCAACTAATTTTATCTCAATACAAGAAATGGAAAACAAAGAAATAATAAAAAAGACATTAAACAAAAAAGAAAAAAGGAAAAAGGGAGCTAAGAGGAAAGAAGCAATACAACAAAAAACAAACCATAGTGGAAGCAGTTATCCTGACAAATATTGCTCATTTCATTCCAGTAAGTGAAAATTTTTTATATTATAGTATTCTAGTATAGTACAGAGTATACATTACAGTTGCTCAACTTTTTACTGTATTCATCTTTTATTACTATATATTGACTGATGTTATAAATCATGGCAAACTAAGAAATGAAAAAGTCATTGGGAGGAAAAAATGAAGTATCATCTCTCAGCTTTCCATTGAGAGACACTTAGGTTAAGTTTTATCTTTCTTAAAAGCATCTGCAGTGTGCAATAACAGTTGACCATAATTTGAAAAATATTAACAAATAACTTAATTCACAGAATCAACTTTCCCCCCCTCCTATCCTTCATTTCTGTTTTCCAAAAGCATCATTTAAAAAAAAAATAAACTTAGATTGTATTGAAAGCAAGCAATCTCAATGTAAATTTAACAATGAAACAAACACATAATACCTAAACAACAATTAAATTAGTTAAAATAGGGCATTAATATCCAGAAGCATAGTTGGCATTGGTGAATAAGGACACACTGAACCATATATTGTGGTCATAACTATTTAAAAGCTATTGACCAAGTTGCTCAACCCATTCAAAAGACCTCTATGCTTGTCTAATAGCTTTTAAGAAGAATGAGCAAAATTCATAATCACAGATTTTTAAAAATATGACATTTGAGTAGAAAAACAGTTGTTATTATCTAAGTAATATTTAAATATATCATATCTCTTTAAGAGAAAAACAGAAAAATAATACATGGGAAGAATAGAAAACTCCAAATACGGCAACTAAAATTATTGTAATAAAAACCTAAAGTTCATAAAATGCCAAAAATTAAATACAACTCAATGGCCAGCTTATATCTTACAATTATTCTGCAGTACTATTAATGATTTGCAAAACCAATTATGCTATCTAAATGAAATACATGGGAGGTTTGCAGGCACCATTGAGCTTAATCCAGTCACTAGCAAGCAACCTGATGTGCTTTTTCTGCCCAATTGAACATCACCATAGGCTTTCTCACTATCCTCCTTAACAAGTTGCAGGTCATAAAGCAGGAGATGAGTCCATTTATCCAGAAAATTAGTTGTAACACTGATTATCCCTCTTGAAACTATTGCCTCACTCTTACAATTTCCAGGAGCATAAAAGAAATTGAGTCACATTTTAATGATATAGAACTCCCACTATTGGAAAATAAAGACTGGGGACATTTCTTCTATCATGAAATTTTAAACTGATCAACTGTTTTTTGTTTGTTTGTTTGTGTTTGGTGTTTTTTATTTTGGTGAAATGTATTACATTTAATAGGCAATTATTGAGTTAGCTTTGACATTTTTTTAAACAGACAGATATGTTTTACAATACTAGATACAACATAATGAAGATTGGCAATGAAACCTAGCAGAGAATAACTAACTTAACAAATCATTATGGGAAAGAATATCCCAGTCTCGATTTCATCCTGGAAATCCCCAGATTTGCTTGCCAACATTTGACAATTTTTAGATGATCAGAACAGGTGAACACATGCTTATGAAGTGTAAGATAACAGTATCAGGTCAATACTATCTGCACTCTGAGTTTCTGTAAATATCTTGGAGGTTATCAATCTATTTTGACATGTATGTGTGGAAAGGATATACTCTGTTTTATTGGCACAGTATTTTAGTGTCTTGTACAAGGGCTAATGCATGGTCAGAGATAAGATAGTTCAGAGATAAGATTAGCCAAATGATTCTCATATTAAACAATTTTGTGTGTAAGTTCTCACTGCAATGAGTGAGGGGCTCCCCAACCATTCTGTTTTTTCCCCCTCTACTAGGTTATTTAGTAATTCATTATTAATTCAATTCAATATTAAAACCTTTTAAAAATATAATTACCAGTTACATATTGGATAGAAAGGCTAAATAACATTTATGGGGAAAAGGTATTTGGTTAGCAGTTAAAATTATATTTGTTTTATACATGTCATTTAACATTTAGAAGTCATTTGTGTTCAAGTGTCTTGCCAAACATTCATTCGGTGTGACTGGAAAATCTGTTAACATGCTGTCCATAACCTATGAACTCATGGAGTTTAATAACATCATTTGGCAGTGACTGTTTTGCCATTATTCCTTCATAGTTAGCCAAACTAAATGTTTTCTCTAGACTATACTGCCACTGAAAAAGTAAGTTACCTTTAAAGTCAAGATCTCCAAACATATATAGTCTAGTAGTGCATACTTTTAAGCCTATAAAATGTACTTTGTTTATATATACAGATGAATTAAATTCTAAATTTATATTCTGAAATATCCACCACTGTTATTTTTAAAGAAAAGATAGATAGATGAATATAATTATTTAGTAAATTATATCATAATAACCAGAAATGCTAGAAATGAAAATTTACAACAAGTAATAATCTAACAAGTATATTTATAGGACATATATGAGATTGGCCAAAACGTGAGGGCAATGAAAATATCTTTAGATTTTATTCTACTAGCTTTTTGTAAAAACATTCTTTTCTCTTTCTTTGAACAATTGTCAATTTTATGGGTCATCAATATATTCATATATTTGAAACACAAAATTAAAACAATGTAGAATACTGATTTTAATATATAATGATATTACCTGCTTAGTGGAAAGCTCCATTGCTGAAATAGTAGTTGGTTCCTAAAGAAGGAAAAAAAAATGTGAACCTTGGTAAATTATAAAAGTCATCAGTTAATTAAATAGAACACAAACATATGTTTTCAGAGAGAAAACTTCAGTACCCATAAGAAGCAATATAACTGAGAAATAAGACACATTAAAGAAATTTCATAGATAAGTGTTAAATGTGTAGAACAGACAATAAGAGTGTGTTAATGTCTTTCAGCCAAAGACCATTAGGAACACACCTGCAGTTGATTAAGTTGGGTTTACTGCTCACCACAAGAAAGGATGCCATGGAATTGCTCAGTAAGTATTGAAAGAACTTACGTCTTTTGGACGAGTGTTAGGTAATTTGATATAGGTTTCAAGAAAGTGGGGCTTTGCTCTGCACTGGATGCTATCAAAAAGTAGAGATAATTTCGTAATTGGGTATCTTTATAAATCTTAGTTAGAAGGAGGGAAGAACAGAGTGGGGATAAAGCAGTGGTTGGAAACAAGTAGCCATCATTCATGTAGGTAGGATATGTGACTTGGTCATCTTTTATGGTTTGGACAATGTTTGTGTTCTTGTCCGTGTTTGGGCATAATTACAGGAAGGTCTTGCTTTCCTCTTGACTCATCGGGGTCTCAGAGCAGTCCTGTCTGCTGTTGGTGTTCTGTGAAAATGTGTACGTACGTTCAACTGGGGAACACCGGTCCTGGCTGAAAGTGCCAGGCCAACTCCTAACAACATCCGTGATGAGCTGATAATGTTAGGCTAGTTTCCAGCCATGGGGGACTGTGGGAGCTCAGTTGGGATGAAAACACTGTTAAGTGTTCTACTGCAGCCGACCAAGTTGGGCTTATCTCACTGCAATAAAGGATGCCACGGAACTTCTCAGTTAAGTGTGAAAAAGGCTTACATCTTTTTGGGCTTGTGGTAGGTGATTTGAACACATGCAGTTAGCATAAATAAATACTATTCTTGTATGCACTTAGGCCACCAAAAGTTATTCCTCTGAACTCATTAGCTTATTCCTCTTAATGCTAGGAAGGAGATGGCTCAGGGGTTTCAGAGGTGGCTAATGAGAACAAAGCTTTGTTAGGTAGGAAGAATAATTTTAAAAGGCCTCACTGTGTAGGTGGCTGAAACTGAGCCCTAAACAAAGTATAAAGAGCTGAACTCTGGAGCCAAACAAACAGTATGGATTCCAACAGTAACTCAAACCTGACCATAAGGGTGATATTAGGTGAGCTATGTAACTTCTTTGTAATTCAGTTTTCTCATCTCAGAGGTTGAGAAGATTAAATGAGTTAATAAATGCAAAGCACTCTGCAAATGTGCTTGTTCTTCTCTCTCTCTCTCTCTCTCTCTCTCTCTCTCTCTCTCACACACACACACACACACACACACACACACATATCCTTTTCTTGCTTTAGCCTTTCTATTTAGTGCTTATCACTATCTGGAAATACACACAAGTTCCCCCCAACCTCCCAAAGCAGAATCTGAGGTAAGCTCTTATCTGCAGGTGGAGAGTAGGAGCGAAGAACTAAGAATTGAGAGGAAGGAGGAAAAATCAATAAAAGGATGTGTCATTGAAGTTACACTGAGAGAAAATCTAAGAATAATGGACAGTGACTGCCAGAACTCTCCACTGAGGTTTGTACCAGGAAAAGTACTTATTCATTCCATTACTCAGTGGATGCCCACAGGGATGTTAAATCTCCCACACTCCCAGTTGTGACTCTTGCTTGCCCTTTTGCCTGCTGTCAGAGAAGTCCTGGGGCAGAAAGAGAAAGACACACAGTGGGAATTAGAGGTAGGCTGATAGGATGTGAGGAGGGTCAGCAGAAGCATCTAATATGTCTTCTTAGTTATTTGTCTGCCCTTTCAACCCCAACCCCCCACCTCAACACACAAATTTAGGACAGGAATTTTTGTTCTATTCACTGCTATATCCCTAGGACCTGAGGTTGTTCCTGGCATTTATAAGTTTTCCATAAGTATTTTTTGAATGAATAAATAAGTAAATTAATGAATAAACCCTCTACCAATTTTCTCCTTTTTCTTTTATCTTTTCTATTTTGCCCAGTATAGTTTGTTCCTTCCACTGAATTTGTATATGAAATAAAGGCAGCTATCATTTAAAATGTCCTTAATTCTGCCCTAGCTAGTGTGGTTTAGTTGGTTGGACATTGCCCCGTGCACTGAAGGGTTGCTGGCACATGCACCCGGATTGTGGACTCGATTCCTGGTGAGGAACATGCAGGAGGCAGCTGATTGAGGTTATGCTCTCTCATTGATGTTTCTCTCTTCTCCCTTCCTCTCTAAAAATCTATAAAATACTTTAAAAAAAATAAAAAGTCCTTAATTCTTCAATCTTAGCTAGAATTTCTTTCAAAATATTCAAAATATTCTATACTCACTGTCTTTATTTGCTCATATCCCACTCAGTGCCAGTAATCCTTTGGCCCACTGAGTCTAGTCCTTACTCTAGAGAGGTTGCCTAACATTCTCAGATACAGAAATTACCAAAGAACTGATTAGCTGAATGAACACTTTCAGCCTGTCTTATTATTTCTGGACTTTGTTTAGATGGCATTATTGACCACTTATTTCTTCTAACTAATGTTTCAGTTTTCTCCCATCCTTTGACTTGGAATTATTGAGAACTAAACATTTTTTTCTGAGCTTCTTGCAAATTACAGCTAAAGGACTTGATAAAACCTTGAGAAATCATCACAACAGCTTATACTTAAACAATCTTAGTGACTGATCCTGTGTACACCGTGCAGAATTTATATCACCAAGATATTTAAACTGCAGAAAAGAAGGATTTATCAGACTGTCCACTGCTTACTTTCATTCTAAGAAAAGAAAATTTGATTATTTCATCTAAAAATCTTCTCAGCTGACAGTCTTACAGACTCAGAAACTGGTTTAAAATTTATGTGACCATTAAACTTTGTTTTTATCTTCTGTTTCATAGGCATGCCCCTTATTAAATACCTGATTTCTTGTTTATACAATATAGGTCTCACTTTGGGAGCCATCCGCATCACCACTTCCTGAAATGACACTCAGCAATTTAACTGAATCGACTTATTTTCAGGACTACCTAATTGAGTCAACAAAATATGAAGCAATCTACCAACTTTGCTTCTGGAATGATACAACGATTCCATATCAAGAGGATGATGCTTTGGGGATTCCCATCCATTCATACTTTGGAAGAATCAGCTAATAACCTCTCTGTTCCAGTCTTGGATCCCATTCTATTACCCCCCTTAGATCATGCAGGGAGAGATTTCCACATCCTGTATAGGCAGGAACCACAGCCCCTGTCAACAGGAAGCAGTTAATGAAGACATACTGTCCTCCCTCATCATCCCTAAGATATTTCCCTAAAAGATTTCATGGATGGAATTTTCTGATGGGGAAAAAAGACATGCTAGTAAGCCAGGGCAAGTATGTTAGGGAAACTGAGAATGACAGTTAAACACCCAAGTAGTTTACAGGCTTCTAGTAAATAGAAAAATCCTATCTTCCTAACAAGGATACTTAAGAGTAAATGGTTTACACCTCTCCTCCCCAACCAGAGTATAAATAGCTTAAATCCTCCCAAAGAGACAGAGGGAAGCTAGGTAGACAGGGACAGGGACCATGCGGGGGAGGGGTGGGGGAGGAGGAAATAAAACTGAAAATCCAAGTAGGTGAAGTTACTAAGGCACCCCAACTGGGCAGGGAAGGAAAGGTGCACCAGGGAGACATGAGCTTTAAAATGTTTAATGTTGCTGACAGGCAGCTTGCAGATAACCAATCACAAGGTAGTAAGGCATATAAACCAATCCCAAGGAATTTGTGAAGGCAAAATTCTTTGAAAGAACTAATCAGGAAATAAGAAGCATATATATAAAAAAGCACGTATGCTTCCTCTTCTCTCTCTCTCTCTCTGGTGTGCTAGGTTCTTGGGTTGATGGCAGGAGATGTGCTCCCCTGTGCCCATGTGGCTTATGGCCATGTGGGCCTCCACACATGGACTATTAGACTTTAATTAGCTTGGATGCTGAACTACTCCTGACTATAACATGGAAAGGAAGCCCTGGATACCGGGCAGCTCCTGGAACCCCAGCTGCACCTTCTCCAAGACTGGCTCTTTTCAATAAACTTTAGTTCCACTAACACGACTTTAGTCTTCGATTTCATGAGACAACGAACTCGGACTCAAAAACCCCGTATTTTGGTTTTAATCCTACGCAGGGAGATAGATAGCAGAAATCCAGTTAGTACACTCAAAGACAGATGCAGTTAAGACAATAAATCTCATTTTGGCACATCAACATAAAGCTGATGTATATTCTATTGAGATCCTCCCTTAATACCTTCCCTAAACCTCAGGACTTAAAAACCCACAAGAAAGAGGACCCAGGGCTTGCTCTCCCTCCCGGAAGCATGCCCGTGCCTTTCCCTTTCCCATGTTCTTTACCCACAGGCATGCATCTCTCAAACTGTAAGGGTCCCCATGAGACTTGCAACCAGGAGAGCAATGGGCAGCAGCAGCTCCTCCTGGCCTAACACCTTGAACCTGTCCCCAAGAACTCCCTTTTATCTGACAGAGAGCCAAAGCAGGCCCACCCACCTAGGCTCTTTCCTCTTGCTTCTTCTGTCCTAAGCCCTTTCTTGTTTCACTGTCCTAAGCCCTTCCTTGTTTCACTGTCCTCAACTTTAATAAACATACTCTAAAATAATAAAATAAACAAAATAAAATAAAATAAAATAAAAATAAAATAAGGTAACTAAGTAAAAGACAACCTGCTTAAGAAATACATGAGATAAATGATTTAGAATGTAAACTAATTTTATTAGGATAATTTAAAGATTCCCCATAGTTTAAATTAATGATATTAAAAATAAATATTTTCTATAGGAATTGTAAACCATAAAGACAACTATGATGAGAAGAATGTCTATCAATTTTCTCTATTCGGTGATCTGATGTTTAGAATTTATAGTAGTAGCATCAAATCACAAAAAT